ATATCTATATATATCTATATATCACATACACACATGCACACAATTGTGATTTTGGAGAAAAAATTTACATAGTAAATTAGCTTACCATTCAATTATATACATTATTTAGTGACTTTGGTTATACTTTTCACAATGTGTCAGCATTCTCATTATCTCCACTCTTGTGATTCTGTTTCCATTAATCTAGTTTTTTTGTCCCCCCTTACCTTCTCAATTTTGGTTTAGGGTAAATGTTGACCACTGAGTGTCATTTAGATGACTGTATACAGGAGCACAGTATCATGGGTGATATTTATTTTATGAGCCACTCTGTCTTTTGGCTCATAGGTGACCTCCAGGAGTGGTTTGAGTTCCAAGTTTAAAGGGTATCCCAGGGAGACAGTGTTGGGGGTTCTTCTAGTCTCTACTGGTCCAATATGTGTGGTCTTTTTTAAGAACTTTCACATTTTTTCCCATTCTATCTCGGACCATCTACGGTGTACCTGGTTGGAACAGTCAGTAGCAGTAGCCAGGCACCATTTTCTGGTGTCAAGGAAGGTGAGCTTGTGGCTTATGTAGACTATTAATTTTGTAGACTAGTTTATTCCCTGAAGCTTTGTTTTCCTTCTTTTTCTTTTGGTCCAGACACATAAAGACTGATATTTCTATCTTAGATGGCTGCTCATAAGCTTTAAGGACCCTGGACATTACTCACCAAACTAGGATGTAGAACATTATGCTTATGAGCTGTGTTATACAAACTGACTAAGTCGCCTCCTGAGACTATTGTCCTAGGCTTTCAAACCCAATCCCAAGGGGTGTTTGGTTCTATGTAGTAAGTATCCATAACTATGTATGTATTTTATACATGAATATATATGTACCACACAGAAACAGTATATTTGCCTATAGAAACACCTATACATGCACACACTTAAATTCCTATGTGCTTACCTATACATATATTAGCATACATATCTACCTATGTACCCACACATACATTTTTGTTGTTATTACTGTTGTTGCAAACTTGTACACATTCTGGCTTTTACCCAAAACTCCCCTTATTCTTATGTACTTCTCCACCTCATCTTTTACCTTGATCGAGCTGTGCTGAGTTTACCCTTAATCAACATTGCCTTTCCCATCATGAAAACTAATAATTATCTAATATCTAGAAAGTGATTCCCCTTCTCTTTTCCTCCCATTCCTGGTAACCACCAAAGAATGTTGCTTTCTATATGTGTATATGTGTATCAATATTTGTTTTTTTATAATAGTGAGATAATACAGTATTTGTCCTTTTGTGATACTTATTTCACTTAGATAGTATTTTCCAGATTAATCCACCTTATAGTATATTTAGAGAGCTGTTCACTATTCTTTATGACTGCATCGTATTCCATTGTGTGTGTGTGTACCAGTTTGTTTAACCATTCATCTGTTGATGGGCTCTTAGGTTGTTTCCATCTTTTCACTATTGTGAATAGTGCTCTGATGAACATGGGTGTGCATGTATCTGTGTCAATAGTTTTTGATCTCTAGGGTATACCGGGAGCTCTGGTAGCATAGTGCCTAAGGCACTTGCCTGCTGACCAGAAGGCTGGTGGTTCAAACCCACCAACCACTTCTTGGAAGGAAGGTTGGGCAATCTATTTCCGTAGTGATACTGCCTCAGCAACCCAAGGAGAGGTCACTATGAGTCGGGGCCAACTCGACATAACAACAACAACAACAATAGGGTATATACCCAGCAGTGGGATTACTAGATTATAGGGTACTTCTAGTTTTTTGAGGAAGTACCATACCATTTGACATAATGGTTGAACCAACTCAGAAGATTTAAATGGCTAAGTTTTTGGGGGAATAGACTGCCAATTCTTTCTTTCTAGGATTTCAGTTATAGCCAAGCACATTGACCATTTGTACCAACACAGAAAAGGGAATTGGTTTCTATAAACCAACTGTTTATGTATTTACCAGCTGTACCCTGTTCAGAACTTCATTTACAAACACCTGGCCGCTCTCAATATGTGTACATATTTCAGTGTGAGTTCTTGCCATTTATTACTATGTATAGGTCTTTTCATATTTTTGTGTTGTTCTCACATTTCTCATTCCTGGGGCAATAAAGCAATCTGCTGCATTAACATATCCCAGTCTGCCAAATCATTTTTCATAGCAAGGAGTCTGCACACTACTTCTTCTGGCTTCCCACTTCAGGTTATGGTATATGAAGTCTTACCTTAGGGAGACCAATAGACTCCATTGCTCTTAACCACTGGACGGTATTATCTGTGTGTCGAAAATGAAGGCCAGACTTCTACAGAAAAAGTAAAAGAAAAAAGGAAAGAAGGATTACACAAAATTTGAGTCATCTGTAACAGCTTTTTCTCATTACCAAGATTCTGTTTAATAGTTCTATGCCTGAAATAGAGTTATTAACTCTTATGTAAAACAACTAGAGACAATAAGGAGACTAGACTATCTAAGCAACACTCTTTTTGTGATGGACCATGGCAGTTTCCACAATTTACACATCTGAGGTAATACTCCACTAGTATTCTCATTCTACTTAATGTCTAGCATACACATAAGAATGGTTCACGAGGCAAAGTGTATGTAAGTGCACATTCCTTTAAACTAAAAAAAAACCAAACTCACTGCCAGATCTGACTCATAGTGACCCTTACTTGGGTTTCTGAGGCAGTATCACTATGGAAGTAGATTGCCCAATCTTCCTTCTGAGGAATGGGTGGTAGGTTTGAACCACCAGCCTTCTATTTAGCAGACAATTGCCTTAGGTATTACGCCACTAGAGCTCCTGTGCATGCCTTTAAACCAGACACACTGCCATCAAGTTGGATTTAACTCATAGCGACCCCTCCTTGGGTTTCTGAGGCAGTATCTCTAATGGAAGTAGACTGTCCAACCTTCCTTCTAAGGAGCGGCTGGTGGGTTTGAATAGTCAGCCTGCCAGTTAGCAGTCAAATGCCTTAGGCACTACGGCAGTAGAGTTCCTTTCTTGTTGTTGTTATGTGCCTTTGAGTCGGACCCGACTCATAGCAACTCCTCCTTGGGTTTCCAAGGTGATATCACTACGGAAGTAGATTGCCCCATCTTCCTTCCGAGGAGTGGTTGGTGGGTTTGAACCACCAACCTGCTGGTTAGCAGTCAAGTGCCTTAGGCACTACATCACCAGAGCTCCCTAGAGTTCCTTTGTTGCCTCTTAAATGAAGCATTAAGCCCTTTTCTGACCTTAAAGGTGAAGGAAAGCTTCAAGCCCACGCTTGTAGGGTAGTAGTGATAATAACCAAAAAATTCACTGCCATTGAGTTGATTCTGACTCAAAGTGACCCTACAGGACAGAGTAGAACTACCCCATAGAATGTCTAAGGCCATAAATCCTTATGGAACCATACAACCTCATCTTTCTCCTGCAGAGCTGCAGATCAGTTCAAACCACCAACTTAGCAGCCAAATGCCTTAGCCACTGTACCACCAGAGCTCCTTGTAATGAAAATAGCTAACACTGATTTCACTGCTATGTGCACTTTGCAACTAATAGTTTTATGTAGTCCCTGGTTTGATATCCACAACTCAAGGAAGTATTACTTTTCCCATTTTATGACTGAGGAACTGAGGTTCAGAGAGATTTTGTAACTTTCCTGGTATTACTTAGCTAGTAAGATCACTCAAAAGACTGTTACATGATTTGGGATTATTGAAGCATACCAGCCAAAGATTATCATGAACCCCACTGTGGTAAAAGAAAATCAGGTCATTAATTCCAGTGACAAGGAAAAACACACAATAGTGGACACATGAGAAGGAGAAAGAAGCTTATGCTGGGTGATCTGAGGAAGGATTTAGAAAAGCAAGTACTGGTTTTCACTTGGGGGCTGTCAACAAGTAGGGTCAATTTCATGACTGAGTGTCTTGGTAATTTTTATCAAAGTGGCGAGAGGACTGAATCCAGGCTAGATTGTAATGGGTAAGGAAACCCAAGTTTCTTAGTTTGGATTAGTTGGATGAGGGAGACTTTTAGTTATTTTGTGGAAAGAAGACCCTTGGTTCAGACAAGACTGTACTTCCGTGGTCAAGAATGGTCTAGTCTGAGATTGTATGTATTCTGCAAAAGTTGTTTATGTTGAGGAGAGTTCTGGCAAGATGGTGGACTAGGCAGAAGGACTGCACAGACGCTTTTCAACAAAGAAAAGGGAAAATAATTAACACAGACACAGAAGATACTCTTGGACCCCTGAGCCTTGAAGGGAAGGATACAAAAGTGGACTAAACCCCAACTAGCAGAAGAATTTGTGTGAAAATGCCAAAAAAGGAGACACACGGAGCTGCAGTCTGGCAGTGGCCTGAGAGACCCTGACAGCACAGACGACAGGGCTTGGAGATTGCCGAGTGGTGGTAGGACCTAAGAATTAACCCAAAAATCACCCTGCTAGCCAGGGACTGCATGGAAGACTGTGCACAGTGGCTGGGGAACAAACGGAGAAGGTGAAGAAAAAGGTGGGCTGAGCTGTG